AGTATCGTCAGCGTAAAAATGAAAGCTGAGGCCATGTGATCTTAAAAGCTGACCAAGTGGGAACATGTAAATGCTGAAGAGCAAGGGGCCCAGTATTGAGCCCTGAGGGACACCAGACTTGACAAGACCAATTTCAATTCAATTGTTTTTAGAAAACAAAAGGGCAACCAAACAAATACATTACAGCTTGACAACACAACACAACAGACATTTTGTTCACTAAGCAACAATGACCAGGACCAGGATGAGTGGTTGAGCACCATCAAGGGCAGGGTGGCAGTCAGCCAGGGCGTTGTGGACTCTCAGCAACACAGCACCCCCTGTGGTTTTCCAGGCACTTGCAGGTTCATGTTGCTGAGGGTGAAAGACACGACTCTACCACAGTGGGTGCTGAACCTCTGAAATGGGACTGGGGGAGGAGTGCTATTCGTTGTTACTGATACCTGGATGTTTACATGAGGATAGAAAGTGAGGCGATTGACCATTTCATCTGTTTAAAAGGGACACTCGGCGTCAACATAAACTGACAAGCAAACAAATACAGTACCACTGCCCCGCAGACTCCTTATAAACACACTTGTCGATTGTCTATCTCCCATTCCTCCTAAACAGTGGAATTCTACATAGAATCATTGAAGTCTTATAATATATATAACAGTGAGGCACTGTGCTTGTACTGTATGTGGTCAGAAACAAACCTTTATGAGTGTAACCTCCTGTTGAGGGTCAGCTTTTATATGACTCACAGGGTAACAGTATATTTAGGAATTTTGTAGCTGTTAAATCAGGAGGCTGGCTAAGGGAAAATTCTAGATAAGGGTCACTATTTTTCACATGCTTGTTGTGTTATGCAATGGATATTGTACTGTTACATATGATCTTCAATGCTGTCTTAAAACTAGTACTGGAGAACTTATGTATTAAATGAATTGTTTGTTAATAGCTTAAAATTGTTGCAGTTCACTCAAGAGAATAAAAAAAAGGTCTTAAATCCCACTCTGCTTATACTGGCATTTTACATATGTGTTCCATAATACTGAAGGCATCATAGCTGGTGAGTATGTCTTTCCAGTCCCTGCTGCAGACACTGTAATGTAAAATAAGGGTTAATGAATCCTGATTTGTAGTGTACAAGCATTCAGACTTCCAGAGGCTTAGTAATGAGAGGGTGGACATGGTTGGATAAAATATTTCTAAACTTGTAGATGACACACTCTAACAGTTTCCCTAAGCAACACAAGGAATAAAAAGCAAAATTCTGGTTTCATTTTTGGTTGAGAATGGAGTTGCTTATATTTGTCAAAAACTGCTTTAGTAGTGAATAAATTATTGCTTATTTTCATTTAACTCAGTCTCATTATGTTGTGCGAATTATTTTCTGCAAAAGAGAGTGAGAGTGGCCTATGTCAAGTGGATGTGACTTTTTTTAGACCCTCTCAGCCACTTAACTACCAAACAATCACTGGTTATCTTGTCTGTAACCTTACTTATGCTAAGTTATGTTAAGTTGTTTCTGAAATATTATACAGTAAGTACTTGCTTAAGTCAGAAACAATTACCCCTTGATAGGTCAGTTGTAATCCTACAGTATCATTACAACAGACTGTGTAGGTTTTAATGTAGATAAATCTATTCCTCCACAAGTTCTGTTTCAAGGCCATATATCGTAAAACTTATCTGAGAACATTTATTTCAAACAATCACCCTCTTGTAACATAAAGAGCAGCTCTGGGTTGATCTGTTGATCTGGTTTTTATTACGCTTGCTGAAGTCATTCCAGGACCCTCCCTGTGCCTCACTTGTTGGGTTTTGACAGCAGAGAGCAGTCCCCCTCAACAGATGTGGGGCTGTATACACATTATGTCATGCCTAATCATTTCCCTAGAGATCCTTTCTTTGGCATACAGTATGCACTTCAGTGGAGCTAGCATGGGAAACTGAAACAACACCGCTGTGTTGATACCATGGGATGGGCTGTCATTTCCTCGGGAAAATCTGTTTCCAGGCTCTTCCCCTGAAGATCCATTTTTTAAAGAAAACTGGCAGTGAAGCAGTTTTCGAATTTCCCTTTCTGGTATCACAAAATGCTTAGGCAGTAATCTTGTCCTCAGCAGATTTAATGGTGCTGCACATCATATTATGGTAAGTTGTATTCTGCATCACTGTAAGCATTTGAAATCAACTTTAGCCAATTTATAAAGCAAATTGGTGTCCACAAACATTTCCATGCTTTGTTTTTTCTAGCAGTTTGACCTTGTCAAATAATGCTACTTCATTTTTCAGAACGTAGGAACGATTACTGTAGAAATAAATGAAGGCGTTTATGAAACCATGGATACCTGGAATATGATCTGTACCTGAAATAAAAATGCAGTTCAACAGCATGTACAGTAGGCAGACCTGGGAACCTTTGATACTCTACAGACCACAGCTTGCTGAATCCAGAGAGAAGAGCGCAGGGCCTGTATCAGTGGGAACAGTGAACTGGAGACCCACAGTAGAAGCTGGCTACTACTGTTAATGATACACAACATGCAGATTGTTTTTTCCTTATTTGTAAAAGATGTACAAATGCTGGCAAGAACCTTGTTTTTTTACTCTCTGAGTAACCCTTGTCCTTTTGCTATCTGCAGTTTTCAAAGAAAGGTCCATATAGAAAATAGGGAAAGATATGTGACCTTTTTCAGTCATAATATTTGAATGTAGACATAACATTTAATGGAAATACAGAAATTAAATAGATTTAACAGAAAAATGAATGCAAAATAATGGCAAAATACAATATACAGTTCTATGTTTTTGAGAAGGAAGAAAGTGGTGTTTTGCTAAGAACATGTAAGAACAATTGTTCATGAACATATCTAAATTTACAGATTTAACTATTTTTTAATGGTTCCCAAAATATAATTGTAACAATTGTCATTTTTATGTGCACATGTTTGTTTCATATTGTTTAATAGATCAATCACATTCTTTTAAATATGTGTCTTTGTTTTGCCACCAGAATGACTGGGATAGTCATTTTCTCAACTGCCATAGTCAGGGAATTTTTGCAGTTTATTTACTGTAGTTTATTTATGCAGGTAACATTAAGAATCCTGGCTTCTTAATCCCTGTTTATTCTGAAACATATTCCACAGACAGCTCAGTCTGACTTAAATGTGGAGAATGTGTGCTTTTTCATGAGGTTTTTTGTTGGTGACCATGAGTAACCAAAGTCTGCCAGTAATCTCCACATCCTAAGCTAGTAAATCAGGCCCATGTAGAGGCTGTATTTTCTTCCACCCCTGTGGGATTTACCTGTCTTGTTGTAATAGGTTCAGCCTGTTAATCAAAATTGTAAAATACAAAGTTACAGTTTGGGCCTACTATCCAAGACTAAGGATTAAGCTCAGCCACATGTAGAAACTCTTTCACCAGTTTGAATTTTGTACTTTCGTGGTAAATTAACATAAAAACAGTTAAGTACACCCTGGGTTTCTGCTCTCCTGACTAAAAGAAAGATAATTTCCTATCACAAACGCCACAGGAATGCTTTCCTCCAGCACATGGTTTCTGCTTAGCTGTGGGGGATATTGGTTGTGTGCTAATTTGAAAGCCTGTCTGTTTCTCTTTCAGTTCCCTTTAATCATAACTGGGGGAGCTTGTCAGAGGCTAGCATTGCTTGTTAATTGGGCTAGTCTTGAGGGCAGAAGGCTGATATTTATAGTCATGCTTCACAGTGCCTTTCCTGGCTGTGTTTATGGCCAGCAGGCAACTCTTCAACATGTGTGACCCTCCTTTTTGTGCTCTGCAGAATGTGACATCCTGGATTTTTGTTTCAAGATCAGCCAGGACTCGTGTGCCTTTCATTTCTTTCTCTCTTCCTGTAGAAAGGTTTACCTCAGACTTACTGTGGTGGGCCCTGGTAAAAGTCAAGTGCAGTCAAGCATAGGGAAGTCATGATGAAAAAACATGTACGGTATATTAAGACATCATAAACCATGATAGAGAAAAGCTAAACCATAAATATAAAAAACTAAACTGAACACTTACAGTATGATGATGACATGTTGTAAAACGTTATTGGGGTTTCATTACCTCTAAATCACTCTTTTGTTTATAAAATGCCTTTTCTATTTTAACATTGTTGTAAGTAGATACATTTTACATAGATTAATGTAAATATTTTTTTCTTTATTCTTTAAAACTGATGTTTTAATGGCATCTCTCATAATCTGAGATGAGACGATTCCTAGGCTTCAGGATTCCAGTTACAGGGTTCCAGATAAAGACAGAACAATGTCCATATCACAGAACCTGACAAAAATGGAAACTGATTTAAAGTGGTTTCACCCAGCTAAAAGGAAATTCTCTCTTAAAAGAAAACAGTTCTTAGTACTAGATATTTCACTATAAGCAATGAACACTAAGGATCATTAGAATTTGTTTGCTTTATTTTATTTATCTCTAACCTGTGGAAAAATATTTACTTGTTAAATATTTCTGAACTTCTGGTTTGAGGATTCTGTGACCTTCTCTTGCCTGATAAATCCCCAGGTCTCTATCCTCACTAGAACTGGTAGAACTGCTATCATGGTTGAATAAAGGGATGTAGTTGGGGTTTGAAACTATTTCAGAGCCTTGTGGAATATAAAGTATGCTATTTCCTGTTCAAGTTGTCCTGGCTGCTCAACACCGAACACATTATTCTGTGAGGTGGCGTGGTGGCAGAGTGCTACTGTCTGAAGTTATACTGGTAGGTTAATTGGCTTCGAGGAAAACTGGCCCTGGTGTGAGCATGGACTGGTGTCCCAAGCAGGCTGTATCCTGCTTTGTGCCCATTGCTTGCTGAGATATACAGTAGGCTGCTCAACAACCCTGAATTGAATGAAGCTTTTAGAAAATGGTTGGATGGATGGCTCTTACTATTTTGTACTGTGAGTGTAATTTATGTGCAGTTTATTTAATTTCCTGTACTTTATTGCAGAACGTGGACACATGCCTTTGCCATGTGCTCAACAAGTGAATATTTTGTAATACTGCTGGTTTTACAGCCAGCGCCTGTTAAGAAATAATGGAACAAACTGTCAGATCTGACACGGTTTTAAAAAGCTGAAAATTTAACCCGAAAACAATTACAAAGCAGGTTTTCCAAGAGACACTGAACATGAAAACAAGCAATATTTTATTTTCAAGCAAAGACAAATCAACACCCCTTGCTTTGTTGAACTGGTTTGTACAGTATATGCTTCAGTGCTATTAAGACTATAGTAAAAGTAAACTTTGCTGTTAGATTCACTTACCTGGACTACTGAGGACAATCTTTGGAAAAGCTACAAAAAATAACAGATTTGGTAGCAGACAATATTTATTTCCTAAAATCAATCACAATGAGGATAGACTGGGAATGGAGAATTGTTAACAGAAGACTTCATTGATCACAATATTGAAAACTGATAATGAGAATGTTCAGCATAAACTTGATAACTGTGTATAAATTAATCCAAAATGGATTTCCTTTTGTTTGAGGGCTTGTGTATTTTAATGTATTCATTTAATTCTGCACCATTGTGCAAAAAAATTGTTTTTATTAATATAGTTTAGTGAGCACCTCTGATTATTTTGTGAATATAGTGTGTATGGGATATTTAGTGCTTATTGCTCAGTTATTGTTATACAAAATTAGTCTTGTTTTCACCCACCATATTGGAAATATGACAGTTTCTCCTGGGCTTGGATAAGAGAAACACCCATTTCCTGGCACTTGACATGACTTGCTTCACTTGAGAAATAGAGGGTTGTTGAGAGATCAACTGTGTATTCGATGTTAAAAAAGTCTGAAACTTTATTGGTTGTAATTCATTTCATGTTGTTATAAATTTATAAAGTAATAAAGAATGATCAAAGCTATTGTATGTAGCTTTGGTAGACTAGGTAATGTGAAATGTCACGCCCTCCAAATCTAGAGGGCAATCCTGCTCTGTCTTGTTCCTAGTTTCCCTAGTTTCCCCTTAACTTGTTCTTCAGGTGTGTCTTGTTGTCTGGGGCTATATATTTCCGGGTCTCTCCTTCCTCTTCGCTCGGCATTGTGATCGGTTGTCAAGAGGCTCTCCTCAACAGGTCGCCCCACGTCTGCTACCTGAGGGCTTATGTCTCACTACGACTTCACCCGATACCTTGAGCTTAGACTGAACCTCTGTGTTTTCTCTTTTCTTGCCGCTATGCATAGGGTCCTTCCGTCTCGCCGGTCTCTCTCCATGGCAGCCCTTGGCTTCCGTGACAGAAATATATTGTGACACAATTGTAAATAAAAACGTTTCAGGGAAAACTGAAGGTCAAGATGCATCACATCTTGACAGAAACATACAGTAGTCAAGCTGCTGAGCAGGTTGAAGAGCTCTTGTGTTGTGGATGGTCTCTAACAGGGTCCCCCTTTCCTGGTTTTGAAGGGCTGGTATGTTTTGCAGGTTTTCCATGTCTCTTTAACGCACCAGCACCTGAAGAGCTGGGAGAAAATGGTAAATTGGTCAAATTAAACCAATAACAAGCTGAATCAGATCTCCCAGCTGGACTGAACACTGGTAGATACACCCACCATCTGGGACCAGGATAGGGGGACCCCTGGCCTATGATTTTACCCTTGCCTATAGGCAAATTGAATTCCAGAATTAATTCTACCAGGAAAATAGATCAAGGTTAAAATTTGCTTGGATGAGTTTAGCTGGTACTCACCATATTTTATTAAAAAGGAAGCAAGACCTGTCTGTTTAAAGCAGTTTGACAATGGCAGACATTCCTTAATAGAAGTTTGAAGTTAGACAACTATTACACTTATGTAGTACATTAGTGTTGTCTTACTAATTCTTAAAGGTCATTTGAATTTCATACTTCAGTTTTCTTTTTTGGAGCAGCTTAATCATGAATAAAAACATTTAGGATGAGCTCACGGGTAGATAAAGCAATAAAAGTGTTGTTTGAAGTGAAGGTTGGGTCCTGTTGTTGGGATATTGTAGGTTTTGGGTTTGATCAGTGTTGTTAGACATCTGTGACTGGGTTTCCCTAAGCGCTGGTACTTGTCCAACCACTGCCAGATGGGCCAGCTTCGGCCTGGGATTCCTAAGCTTTCTATGTAAGAGTAACCCCTGGGACCAGGCACCTGCAAGCTTGCAGTGATGTCAGTGAGAGGTCAGTATTCTCTCAATAGTCAGGCAGTGTGAGCTTGAAGCTTGTCAAATAACAACCAGCTGATACCAATGGGTATGTCAAAAAAGAGCTTATGCAAAGTCAGTTCTTATCTGACTACAATACAGTTACAGCATTGGTAAGCCTTGCTGATTAATAATTGACAACGTCTAACTGAATGGGTAAAAAAATAGAAAATTTAAATACATATATATATATAACGGTACATATATAATGGTACAATTTAAAGTACAGTACTTGTATGGGTGCAGTTGCAGGGGAGATGTAAACTAGGCTTGCCTTCTGATGCTTCTGTGGGAAAACTAAATTCTTTATCTGTCTTCTTATCTCCAGAAATAAAGGTAAAACCTAGTGTCAGTACGGTCACCAAGAAACCAGCTCAGCCGGAAATCCAGAGGAAACATGAGCCAGACGTTCAAAAGATCCAGCTACCATTCATTCCCAGGAAACAGGTGCCCGTCACCACTCGGCCTCGCCTGCGGCCCACACTCAGGCAGCCCCTGACTAGGCAGCCCGTGGCCAGGCCGCCCAAGGTGGTGATGGAGACAGGGGAGGCAGGCCCACCGGGAACAGTGCAGAAGACCTCTGCTGGTCTGCCTCAGGACACCAACGGCTTTATGACCGACTTCAAAGGAGTTGCCGGAGCGCCAGGTTAGTGCATGAGCAGTTATGTGTGATAGGGGAAGCAATGGAGTACTTTCTATTGAAATACTAAGGGGGGGTGGGGAGAATAGCCTTTTGTCCTCAAATAGATTGTTCCTTCAGCAGGTGTTTCTAACTTTGGTCATCAAGGTTCGCAGTCCAGCAGACTGTTCATGTAGACTATTAGAGATTCAAAATGCCCTCCTTGAGGATAAGGTTTGGGACCCCATGTCCTATAGCCCCCCATATGCCTTTTCACAGTTGACCTTATTAGGATCCTCATCTCAAGAGCTGCAGTTACACAGCTAAAATGTTCCATATCATTGAAGAAGTAGATCCAGCTTTACTGCTGCCACAAGGAATTCTTTCATACAAGACAAGAAATTGAGTTTATTTAACTAACGTTTGGGAGGGATGACAACAACCACACTCAATCATTCCCAGCCGCCAGTGATTAGCAATCACTCCCTTTGTCCTTCCTCCACCAAACACTATAAATACCAAATGGGATATCTCTCTCCCTTGCGTGTGACTTTTGCATCCCACCTCCACCCCAACTCCACCTTTGCAGCTACCCCTTGGTTACCCTGCGCGGAGGTCCTGGCCTCCTCGTCCTACGGCCAGGAGGTCGGCCCTCAGCCAAGCGGGTTAAGCCAAATATTCACTCCCAATAGTTTGTTACGCTTCGATTTTGGGGCGTTGTCATTCCTTGTGAATAAAACTTCAAGCAGTAGCAAAACTAAGAATATTATTCTTAATAATAGTAGTGGCATTGATAGAGAAGAATTATCAACTCTGTTTTAAATGGTTATGTAGCTGTTTTTATTACTTTCTAGGCTATCCTCCTATTACTACAGTATCATTTGAGCCCAGGGTTGTTTCAGGTAATATTTTTTTTTCTTTTTGCATGTTTTTGTTTTAATGGGGATACTGAAAAAGAGGACTTTAAATTAAATACTTTTCTTCCTCTGTTTTTTCTGTTATATAGTTGGCCATTTTCCACAGAAGCCTTTGCCTCATAAGCCTGTATTGATCCCAGGTACAGTTTTACACTATATTCTGGCACTGAGGACATCCTGCTCACTCAGAAAACACATAAGTCCAGTAGCAAATATACAAAAAATATCCTTCGTGTATGATGGGGTGTTCAAACTTTTGGATGTTTGTAAAACATAAGGGAGTTTCATAGTGTGAGTTTGTGGATTCTGTACACAATTTTTAATATGTTCACACACATTGGTTTTATAATGGTTTAGGCAATTTTATTTTTTTTTGTTAGCTGTACTTACCCTAACAGCTGTCTTATCCCACCCTTAACTGTAATTCCTCTGTAAACGCAATTGACAACACCCCTTAGCTGATGCATTGCACCCTTTTTTTTCCTTTTACAGTTGACAGAAAAAAGAATAAAACAACTCCCATTTCATTAATAATAACTTTATTATAGTTCTTTTCATCCCAAAGAATTCCAGTGTCTACTATACTGTACCTATCGCTCAGTTTGATAGAGATTCACATTTCCGTAATCAACAGAAATCTGAATTTTACCAAAGAAATGGCACATATGCAGGACTATATGGAATTTCTAATTATATGATCCTTACCTCTTCTGTGTGATTGCAGGAATCGGCACTGAGACAGAACCGTTCTCCTTCTCTGCTGGTCTGACCCAGAGATCCTTCCCTGGTGACTTGGGAGTGATCCGCTTCAACAAAGTGCTGGTCAATGATGGAGGCCACTATAACCCTCACACAGGTGCTGACGCTTCAGAAGAGGCAAAAGTGTCTCTCTATTTGCTGTTGCTGCTTTTTTTATCTAATTCCTCTCCTCCATCTCTCTCTCCCCTCTTTTCCTCCTTCACCATCTCCTTCTCTCTCTCTCTCCTACCCCATCTACTATTTCCTCAGCTTCTCTAAATCATTGTTATAGTGCTTTCAGAAATAAATTCAGGTAGGGAGCTGCATCAGCATGTGTAGGCTGTAAAGGAACAAGTAAAGGTTTATTCCATGCCGAAACGAAAAAGAGACACAACGTTTCGGCTGTGGAGCCTGAAGGAGGGGACACCTGAAGAAGGCTCCACTGCCGAAATGTTGTGTCTCTTTTCGTTTCAGCATAGAATAAACCTTTACTTGTTCCCTCAGAAATAATATTTTGTCAAATACAGCTATCACTTGAAACCAAATGGCTTCAGTGGTATGTAGTCCTGCCAGGCACCCAGGCAACATCCCCTTGCAGCCTGAGACTGGACCTCACAGTATAAAGTACCAGCATCACATACAGTACCTTAAACTCATTGAAAGCAGTTTCACATATTCAGTGTGGTAAACTCAAAACCAAGCATTTACCACAAACAGTGTCTTCATGAACTGTTTCAGCTGGTGTGGAGCTGACCAATCTGGCTAAGGGGCAGCCGGAAGGTGTTTCCTTTCACTGTGGTTCAAGTACATGTTTGGTCCAACTCGGGCAATACAGTACTGTATTTAATTTCCAAGTGGAGCTGAGTGAAAATAATTAAAGTATGAGAGCTTTTTAAATTCTGATATCCAGATTTTAATTTTAATAATTTCATCTCAAACATTTGCAATGTTCAAAGTGTTTGATGTTTGATATTTCATTCTAGTTGTCTTTCTGACACTTTATCTTACTCTTATGGTAATAGAAAGCAAAACTTTTAAGGAGGTTATTTACAAATATATAAACAAACTGAATAAAAATAGCAACATCATTTTATTGCATATTGCTCATTTGTATTTGATTTTGTTCTTCTTTACTAATGTGAGTAATAGCTGAAACCTCCTACATTAGCATTACCTAACAATTAGAATTTGAACTGCAGGTTGGCATATTTAACTATAGCTCAGCCAGAGAGGTCAGCTCAGCTCAAGTCAGTGGAAAAGAGGAAAAAGTGTACAAATGAAACATGTAGCGGGATAACCTGTCATAGCTTGAGTTATGGTCTTAAACATGATAATATCATGGTGATAATGCCATTTTTACTTAACCTTCAATTACTTTTATTTTGAAATCAAAATTCAGAATTCGTCACTGCATCATAAAGATATTTGGATGTGTACGCATATCTTTCTCAGTGCATGCTGATGAATGTTGTTGAAGGCTCCTACAGGTGCTCTCACTTATACTTTTCTAGAGGGCATCCGAAAGATCAAGTCTTTGTGGATCAGAAGTCGTGTTTATTCAAAATGTCCTTGTATTTGAGCCCCTGACAGAACTGTAGTTCTCAAGAAGAGTTGTGTGAAAATGGAACAAGCTACCCAGCCTTGCTGTTGAAGCCAATAGCTTTTTCTTTCATTTCCTTTAAGAAATGGCTGGTTGAAATCCTCGGATCAATTATCTGCTAAGTACCCGACAGGTGGGATGGTCTGAATGACCTGCTCTGTCCTGTAACTTTTCTTATGTTCTTGTGTTTGCAGGTATCTTCACTGCTCCAGTTGAGGGCCGGTACATGATCACTGCTGTCTTGATCGCCGAGCGGGAGGAGAGGGTGGAAGCTGTGCTGTCAGTATCCAATGAGAGCGTCCTGAGGCTCGACACTGCAGGCTACAAGAGAGAGCAGCTGGAATACAGGCCCAGGGGTGGTAGGCCTACCTGTGGAGGCACTGGCACATTCAACATCATCCTCAGCCTGAAACCGGGAGACACAGTCAGTCTTGTTATGACAGCAGGCAGACTGGCCTACTCACAGTCCAATGAAATTTTCTCCACCTTTAGCGGGATATTTCTGTATTCCCCGATTTCCCACAGATAGCCCGCTAAAGAATTGCAAGAGATGGCCAAACATTTTTTTTTAAAGCTAAAGAATTCTGTCAGTGTGGGAGCTTTAATATATTTGTTAATAATCTATATTTGAAAGTCTCCTTTTGTTACCAATTTAAAAATTATTTTTATGGAATAATAGTTATTTTTTATGCAATTAAAAGACATGGATTGTAAGCAACCTCAGTGTCTAAAGAATCTACTGTATGAAAAATGCATTACATTTTCCTCTAAAGTAAGGTACATTTAAGGTGTATATATAAAGACAGTACTGAAATAATACTGAAATTCAAGGGCAACTTTGTTTTCAAGTTTCACAGTGGAAAAAGGAATCAGTCATTTGAATTCACGGAGATATGGTCTTAACATCTCTTGTACAACCTTTAAAGGATATAAATCATTGTGTTCTGTTGACTTGTACTGTAAATTGTAAGAGTCAAAAATCCATGAGACCAAAATTTTTAATAATTTATAGTAACTTATAAATCAGTAACAAAATTGGTATTTTCAAATGCATATGATTCCCCGATTAGGAATAGACAACATTGGCTCTTCCTCTCCATGACACTGTAGCTTTACTTTTTTAAAGCTGTCAGTAGTAGCCAATGAAACCGTTATGTAAATAGAATAAAATAGAAATGCCATGTTGTCTACTGTAACGTCACTGTTGTCTGAAATACACATGTACAATAAACTTTTTATATCAAAGGTGTCGGCAGTTTATTCTTTATGGTAAAACAGACATTATCCCAAAACTTTATATATGATTCTGTAAGGACAAATAACTCCATCTGTTATGGGAAGGACAGTTTAAATTAATCACATATCCAGCTCCATATAGGGCACTCTTCATGAGCGTCAAAAAAAACAAATCAAGTCCCATCAAGGCATGTTGAGCTTTGTGCTTTAGAAAAGTATTCAGCTTGTTGCACTAAAAACATCACCCAGTGGAGAACGTGTCACCTGTGCGTTAGCAGGTCACTCCTTGGAAGCTAACACATTTGACAGGAATTTCTTAGTTTAAAAAACTAACCAATGTTTTGGAGGGTAATACACTCTACAGGGGTTGCTATACTATTATTTTATTATTACTATTATGTGTTTCATGACCCCAACCCTTGCATATTTCATTATATAATGTGTAATAGAATGTATTGTCTGGCATTATATAAATGTATTGAACCCATTCATCCTATTAAATGGAATTTAAAATGTTCTCAGCCAATTTAGAATACAGAGTGTAGATGCTTTAAGTGCACTCCTATTTTTCTATACAGTATATATGCAAGTGCATGTGTGTTAAGAATAATAGTGATTACATTAGGATACAGTACATATTTTAATGACACAAAACACATTTTGAAATTTTAATCATTTATAATTTTTTAATGTTTCATGTAAACTGTTTAGACACCATCATCCATGTACTGCAGACACTGCAAATAAATTCTGTACATTTAAATTAAGTGTATGTGGTACAATATAATCAAGTTGTAATGTATTTAAAGGTATATCAAAGTTCTGAATGCAAACAAATATTCATATAACCAACCAAATTATTTACTTCAGGACTGAAACATTGATCAAACAAATGCATTGAAGATTAGGAAAAAATATTTAAATTCTATGACTTTATGAACTACCACAGTAGTCCCATCAGTTTTTTAATATCTATCTATAGTTTAAATACCATTTTTATTCTTAGGACGTGTGTTTCTTCACACAAATATATTACTTTCATAGAAAGAACGGCATCACTTGTTAATATGAAATGCTGAGACAGATTTTCTTTACTTTTGAATTTCATAAAATACTGAATGAAAGATGCTACACTGCAAGTGATAGGAAATGTTACAAATACAATACACACTGGCAGCAATGCTCTGTATCTAACCTTGATTTTAAAAGTGCATGGAATCTTGGAACATGTCAGTCATGGATAAGATTGTGCTTCATACTGTATATTAAGCATATTGTCTCAAACAGAAATACGTCAAAATTCTTGTCTTGCTTACACGTGGATATTTAAACTACTGTGTAAAGGTAAAGATACCGGCAGTGATAGATAAAAAAACTTAGGTTTACCAAATTTAAGTTTCCTAAATGAACAAGAAAATATGCAGTAATTGCAAAACTTTAAACAACTGTTATACATCAATGTCATCGCTAACATTAATCATTTACTGATTTTCTCTTTTCCCTCTCTCCGTCAGCTTTAAAATACTTTGAATGGTTCCAGAATGTGTATATCCTATTTAAGTCTTGACAGTGGCCAGTTACAATAACGGCAATTTTATGTGCAAAAAACTGAGTCAAGTGAAAAGTAAAGTAAGGCTGCTGCATTCCCATACATAAAAAGAAAAATGTTGAAATGCACTGCATACAATAGTTCAGCAAGACAAATAACATCCCTTCAAATTAATTTCTGAATAATAACAAATAATTGTAAATGAGATATTTGCTGTCAATTAAAATAACAAAGCAGGAGCTGCCACTGTTCTATGAGATAATTACCATAGATGTCTTTAGAATACCTATCAGGGATTTTAATCTTGCACTGTGGAAAACAATATGCAACCTATTGAAGGGAAATAGCAAGAACAGAGGAAAGTTGCTCTATTGTGCATTAAAGAATAAACTTAATATTATTTATTAAGATGAACAAAGCAAATCCTATTTTTTTATCTGCTACATTCAAATTACTGTATTATTATACAACATTTCATGAGAAAAAACTTTTAAAACATTTGATGTTTTTGTCAGAACACAAACCAAAGCGAAAATATTACAACAGGTTTCAATCCAGTGCAAAATCGTCCCCTAACAATGAAATCTCATGATTTTTTTACAAAAAATAAACTTCATGTCACAATCCACACTCTCGTCTATTAAAAACGAGTGACATAAGAGTGTCCTTTATAAACTCCTAACTTTATTAGCTTCAGTGCTAATTAATGATTTGCAAGACGACCGAGTAAAAAAATGTTTATTCCTTTTGGAAGAATCATCATGGCTGTCTAGGCTATTGAAGAAACAGGGTTCAATCCTTATGGACAGAGAAACACTGAGCGAGTTGGTCTGTTCGTCCTGTGTAGTGCCTCCACCGCCCGGGTGGAACTTCCACACGCTGCGGGCACAAGCGTCGGTGAGACTCATTGAGTGAGTCACGCCAGGTCCTCCTCGTTGATCTCCGCAATGGGCTGTCTCCAGAAACAGAAAGAGCTGAACTCCGGCGAGCTGAACGCTGAGCTCTGCTCTTTGTTTAGCAGTGGGAAAACATGCTCTACCAGCTCGCTTAGCCTGCTGTACCTGGGGAAGCCAAAGTGCGAGAAGTGAGCGTGGGAATCACGACGAAGACGCTCTTGAGCTAGGAGCTGGAATCTGTTCGTGTCATGATAGCCAAACCCCACCACCATCACTGAAGGTTTGTAAGTCTCTGAAAATAATACCCATCTTAATCCTGGCACTGATTTCATCAATGATTTAAGTACTGTATTCTTACTTAAAACTTAAATTTGTAAACAAATTTAAAATGTTTTATTACACATGTACTGTACCTGTTGGTGGAAAGATAGGGAAACAGACATGGATAGTCTAATCCAAACATAAAAAGTCAAACACGAATTCCAAAGAAAGCTTCTCTGCTTTTGGATCAAAGAAGCGATTACTCTACTTTGTATTAAAAAGCTAACTTCATTAATAAATCCTAAATTACTTTATAAGGCCTCCCATTCTAAAACTAGGAACTAAAATATCTTACCAAATTAATTTTCACATTCAATCCTTACTCAGTTTTTGACTGAGTATCTTATACTTCCACTTTGCTATTCTACACACCTCAAACCTGACTGGATACAATTCTGGATAGAAGGTAATTCAATGGGTCTGCACTTACGAGGACTTGTTTCCTTTGGTTTGCTCTTGTATTAGTTCCCCTTTTGGATTGACTGTAAATATTCTACAGACTGGGACACCAACCTGCTTGTAGGCAAACACATCCTGGAAACAATAAGGCAATTGAGGTTAGCGTGGGGCTCTGCTAGAGAGAGAATAAATACATAATTAATGGCTATGCTTTAAGCTGCACACAATGGTAATGAACTGTGACTGTCAAGCTTTTAAACTCAACCTGGAATACAAACATCAGTTTCCTGTTCGGTGACCAACAACCCCCTCCATTTCTGCCTCTTTAGAATGCCCAGCTTGAAATTCCCCACACCAATGCATGAGTGGGAGCAGGCAGACAGATTGCTGAACCTCTTCCTTTGATCCATCTGAGGAACCAGATCCTTCTTTTTCCCATCCATCTAATTTATTCTGTAGACGCTGCCCACCCAGTGAACCAAAGCAGACACAGCACTTGAAACAGCCCTTGTTTAGGTCATTAGTGGTTTACTGATGGAGTCTGACTTTGGGTCACTAAATATCCATCTGCTTCCGGATTTAAGTGCAGCTTTTGGTTCGGTCAGTGGCGGCATGGAGCGCGTGGAAAATTATCACTGGTACTTCCCTTCATTAGTTCAGCTCCTGTCTGGCTACTAAAAGCTAATTCATCTTGTTTCTTTTTCTTTTTTACAAATGCTAATAATTATGTTATACCCATCTGATACTGAATAGCTAATTGTATGTTTTGCGCATCTCGGTCACAGCTACAAACTCCATGAATGCACTCAGGGGAGAAACAGGAAATGGATATAGACTCTCCCACCTTTGAGCAACATCACAAGCAACACAGCCCTGTACCAAAAGCCTGCAAGCTCCTAGGAGGCCACAGAGGCAGAGCCTAGAGAGCCCTGGCTCTAAGTTTGTCAACTCTCAGGCAATAGTGCACTGCCACTTTATGACTCCTGGTCACACTCAACTCGTGACATAACCCAGGCTTGACCCGAGATCATACAGCTGCACTCAGCTGAACAGCTTTATCGCTTGAGCCACACAAGTGGCTGTTCAAAATCTGAGGTCATCCTGCTCACCCAGAATGTTCAACAGGGCTCCGTGCTGGGACCTGTACTATCTGCATGTCTGTTCTTCTTGATAATTCAACAGCTATGCTGATTACACTCAGATCTCAGTTATACTTTCAGACTACATTATGCAGTTTCTAGACTTTACAGATACAGTTTATATCTGTACAGATGCAACAATTGTCTTAACCTCAGCTATGATAAGACTGAGGTCATGCCACACTCTCCCAACATCAACTTCACAACAGCTGCATTGTTGCCGTTGATGGTGATGAAATCAAATTCTTGACTACATGTAGATTTTGTGTTGCTTTTCAAACTGTGTGGTCATTTGAAGCATGTTAGGAATGTCACTTTCTTCCTCCAGTATAACATTACTGAATTAAGACTCTTTCTCAGCCTAGCCGATGCTGAAATATTAATACATACCTTTATCACTTCAAACTATGTTAGACTACTGTAATGCCCTACTGAGATATCTTCTACAGTACTAAATAGTATGTTCAGAATTCTGCTATCTAGACGTTCTCTTCATGAGTACGTAACTCCCATCCTTTATAATTGTAATATAATTTAAGTTTCCCTGTGAACCTTAGAGAGGATTGTTAGTTCTCCTACTCCCTGTATAAAACAAGCAATGATCCATTTTCTTTTTCCAACATAAATTACAGCCCAAAAGAATGCGTCTTGAATAAAGTACATTACGAGGAGACTCACTTCATACTGTACATTCAACATCCTCACAGGCACTGACAAAAATCAACCTATTGATCGTCTTCAGAATCAACAGGGAAACACGAAGCAGAGGTCAGAAGTGGTTATTAACTATGGGAAATGTATTTAAAATTGAGAGTAGGAGGCACATTTTTACAGAAAGGGTTAAGGGAGTCAGCAACAAGCTAACCATCCAATGTCAAAGCAAGGAATATGGCCATATGGCCTCCTCTCCTTTGTAACTTTGTTTACATTAATATTGAATGTAAGATATTGAATTGAGTATGCAGGCCTGGAGACAGCAAGACCCAGGGACCAGTGCTCTTGGAAATACCTCAATTCTTTGATTTTGTAGGTCTGAGCACAAAAAATTGTCCATCATTGCAGCACAAGTAGAAAGAAAACACAAACATAATCGGAGGACAAGTAAAAAAACAGCACAATTTTACAGGCATTCTTTCCCACATTTGTTTCACATTTTATAATCCATTGTGCATGTTCTGCATGACTGTCTGCAATTTAAAATCTCTTTCATGCCATCTGAACTATGCCATCTCCCAAAAGAAACTGCTAAAGGGAGAGAGAATGGCCAAGAGCAATCCATTACCTATGTTCACACTTTAAAGCATTATGCCTCATCAAACAATGTGTCTTATATATTATATATAACCTTTCCCCGTGAAGTGCTTTTTCAGAAGCCATATACAGTATACTGAAACTTAACTCTGAAAGGAAGATTATTTATGTACAACAGAGAAGAAAATACGACAATATGATATCAAATACACAAAAAGTAAGAAAGCGGAAAACAGAATAAAAGATTAGCAGAAATGTTCTTCTAACACTCAGCAAGGTATGTAATAATAGTACCAGAAAAAGAAAAATTGCTAACTTACATTTGGTCTGTTTCCAAAGGCAGCATAGAAAGGATGTTGGTTTGGATGGAATAAATTCTTGATATCAGTAAGGCATTCAATCTTAAACTTTTCTGGCTTTTTTTCAATCACTTCCCTAGACAAAAAAACAAGGTAAAGTGACCAAATTATAGAGGAACCGCAACTCTATTTTTATATTTAAGAATTAGAATGAATCGGCACTGAAGAGTGTATTTTGAACCACAGCGAAAGTAAGATGTACACAGTAATATGTAAAACCTCCAATGTACAGTTGTGAGAAAAAAGTTTGTGTTATTGAATGAATTATCTGGATTTCTGCATGAATGGCTTCTAAAATGTGATCTGATATTTATCCAAGTCATAATAAAAAATACAGTCTTATTTAACAAACATCACATACAACATTTTACATTGCCGTATCTTTACTGAACACATGGTTTAAACAATCAAGGTCATTAATGGAAAAAGTATGTGAACTCTTATATTTAGTAACTAGTGGAACCTCCTTTATTGGCTTTTTTATGCTTTATTAAGAAATTGTATGATTTTGCAATAGTGTCAATTATTTTTTGTTACTGGAATTTAATTACCGGTCACAGAAATTGGGACTGCATTTCCCCTTTAGTACATCAAACATTAGCAGACATTGATGTGTTCATTTTCCACATTCAACAGTGTGATATAAGTTGTAATAAGGTCACAGCTGCATTTTCAAAGTAAATGACAAGTAAAACTTGGCTTATGAACATTTACTTTAAATATTTTGTTCAGCTGTTTCAGTCTTTAAGAAATACAGTCACCGCATGGAAAGGGTTTTAAAATGGCCCCTAATCTCACAGTAATGAAACTGAATCCTTCAATGTATCTTACACAATTTCTCACATTCTAACCAGTGATAGTGCTATCGGAGCCTGGACTAGGGTTCTCCTGCAGGTTAGTGTCTGCACTAAAAGATTCACAGTTGTAGTTTTATTATATATAAACAAACAGTGTTAATACTAGAACATCTTTTTAAGTCTTTATCTGTCCTTGTCTAATTAAACTTTCAGGTATCATGCAAAGGTTACCTGTGAAATGCAGAGAAGAGACTGCTGGGAGACAACATCAGAGGGCCTTGAGGGAGAATTGTGCCTCGGTCATTGACCCAGTGCAGGTATCCCCTGGTCATGTCTGCCATCCCAATCGCTCGAGCCGAACAGTACAAAAACTTGTAGCCGTTCCTACAGGAGTGAAACAAAAAAGAAAATATAAACACGGTACTGACCTTACCTTTCTTTACTTTATGCTGTTAATACAAGTAGTGCTATATTTTATTTGAAATACTTTGATTAATTACCAGGCTAAAATGCCCCCATGTAAAAAGGAACGTAAAAATGCAGTCTGTTTTCTCAGGGTTGTGTATGGCTTTGGTTTTTTTAATCCAAGTTCAGTGTGAAAATACTGCAATTACTTCTGCAACGTCTGGCCTATTTCTGTGCAAACAGATCAGCAAATCAAAGACCTAACTGAAAGAACATTTCAGGTCAGATGGCTGGGCCAGCTCCAACTGTGACTCCACCTGGACCTGCAGCCAAGAGACAACAGTACAATCCCAGACATCTGACATGGGTCACTGTGTGGAAAACAATTTCTAGAGGCTGCAGTAAAGTGTCCAAATGTGCTGCAACCATAAGAAAACGTCAACTGTGGAATAATGGGACTGACAAGTAAAATGTCCACATGGGAGTAAACAGGAGTGAACCACTAGGAGTAAATTTCCATCTACTTACTCCGACATCTGGCACCAAAACCTGGTCTCAATTCTGCCGTCACAGTGCTGAACACAAGATGGTAACACTTACAGTACTGAGACTTGCAAAAGCGGTCACTCCCCTTCAAGAACTGGCCCCATTGATTAAATTGATTATAAGTGATGTGTGCACATTATTTCAAATTAGATCATTTTTAGCCAAATGTGAATGCTCTAGCTCAGACATTACACTTTTAATGGGTAAAAGAAATTAAATGTCAGCAAAAACTCCAAAGAAAAATCAAAGGTGCATCATTTGTAATTCAATAAAAATGGAGAATCATTTGAAGGGGTGAACACTGTTGCGAGGATCTGTGTCTCTCAAGATAAAAAAATGTCAGTTATATTTGTGTCTCCCATTTATGCATATTGCGTTAGTGGGAAGTCAAGTAGACTGACAAATAAGAAAATATGGAAAATGAACAGCAGTTAAGAAAAGTCAGATTAGAGCTTGGTTCTTACTCGTGTACTGAGTGATACAGTTTAGCAATCCCTTGGTGTGTCCAGTCTTTACCAAGCTGGGGGAGAATTTGCCCAAGAGCATCAGACCTGGAAACACAAAAATAAAATAGATTTTTTTAAATTGTTTATTGCAGTGGGTTTTACAGGAGTTTATTACATTTTGTGACCTTCGCGGTTCCGCGCGGTGTCGTGCCCTGCCCCACCCCGTCCCGCAGCACCTGGGCCACGAACCCGGGTCTCTGGCGTAACGCAACAGGGAACCAGCCGCATGAGCTAAAAGAGACCTCCCTCAGCCCAGGCAGCTGAGGTCTCTGCTACGTGCAGTGAGGGCGCTGACGTCACCATATCCGAACTAGCTCTGCTACAATTTTACATCCTTAAATGCAACCATAGTGTAAATAATAATCCAAAATCTTATGCCTGGCTTTATGCAGATTACTTTGTTAAAGATGCTTATCTTAATAAGTAGAAAATTATATAAGAGATGTTACACAAAATGCACAATAACTATTTAAAAATTATTCCTGCATCATGACAATCCCAGGTGATTATTAAAGAGGATAAACCACTTACTTGACCTAATGTTGACATGTACAGTATAGTAAATCCAGGATAATACAATAGATGTTAAAATTCAGACTGCTACTAATATTAAGGGGGCTATATAGTTTAATCTCAAACATGTAGCAGGTGAAGTCTTTTGAAAACAATTGGAACAATATTGTTCATTCTTACTCACTTCGTGATTGTCCCATCAATGTCAGAAATGATGACTTTGTCATCCCAGTTCCAGAGATAAATAGTTCCTTCACAGCGGCATGTACCTTGATATTGTGTTGTTATGCTAAACATAACATCATTCGGGCCTTCCTTCAGCTTCAGACTTGCCTACATTTACAAATTAACAGAAAGGTGTGTATTTGAATACATATATTCATATTGAAACACAAACAAAAGCTATTGATTCCAAGAATCTTGTTGCATTTTAAATGTCTCTCAGTATAGATTCAGCTCACCCTGTCTGCGGCTACTTTATCTGTAGTCTGATATTTTAAACTGGTTAACCACATGAAGTGATTCTGTCTGATAACTTGAAAAGATTAAATGCAACTTCTGTCACTCCTCTCTAGGGCAAAATACTTTAAACAGAATGTATCTGAGTAACTCCAGAAACAAATGTGCAGGTAGGTGTTCAGTCTGAAAATCAGAAAAAAAATGCAGGAAAAGGGAATATGAATTTAACATCCATATGAGCTCCATATCCACACAAATCATACTGTGCTGTTAAGCCACTATATTTTCTGCAACACAGAGCACAGAACAGGCAGTTACCACCTCGTCCTTCTTCAGTTACCAAAGGAATTAAAGAACAATCTACCTCTTCCAACCCAGCACATGCTGGTACATGTGTCTGTATCAGCATAAAGGAAACAAGGTCAATGACACATCTGTGGCAGTGTTCTCTGAAAACTGGCACAGGTCACTAACCACAGCAGCACACTGTCACCAGTACGGAAAATATTTCAGTCTCGGCTTGCTTAACGTTACAAAGAAACAGAAAATATTAAATAAGGACTCTCTAAGATGAGCTAACACAAACGTTAACACGTTTAAATAAATGTTAAAGCTTTTTCAAACACTTAAGAAGGAGTGTGATTTCTAAATGAAACACAATCAAACCAGGTAATCATTGGCAATCAAGAAAAGACAACAAGGCTCTTACAATCTGATCAGAGGACAGTCTTAGTGACTTCTTGTAAGATGTTGTACTGCACTGGTTGAGACTTTCAGACTGCCCAATATCCTGCAGGTTAGCTTTGTTGATCTCCTTTGACTCCTCATCGCTCGATGAGTCCTCCCTCTTTGACCTGACAGGAAGTGAAATACAAAGAAGTTAACTTTAGTCAACAGCTTTAACATACAGTATATACCCTAGTAAAATGTCAGGGCGCAGTGCTACTTTAATTGAAGCTGTTCTTGTAGAAATATTGATCTATGTATTAGCAACAAGTCTTTATGCAGAATACAAAAGTAAGAAATCAGGTATATGTGCAATCCTTTACCTCAAAGTTGGAATTTCTGTTCCTAATACACAAGTTAACAGTGTCCAGAAAAGTTTTTGCTGCTAGTGATCAGAACAGTGTAGTTTTGCTACTTCTCAGTAGGTGGCAGTGTTTAATCAAGTTTACAGTAGTGGTCGGCGATCCATAAACCAGGAAAATTTATTTTTATGTAGCTGTCATTTTACATTCAGTATCATTTTATATTCAGTATTGAATGAGGTACAGTACAGTAGGTCAATACACTCACTTCACTGCTTTGCTTTACAATGCTCCTTTTTAATTTTCTGTAAAAGGTTATGGTGTACAGTATTTGGGCAAAAAAGTTGGTGTAATATTTTTATGAATTTCCACTGAAATGAAAAAAATGCTTAAAAGCTAAAACCATTTACCAGATTCAAGAATTAATATTGAATTAAATATATAAAATTGTATATACTGTAGTACCTACTGTATATTTGCAGTTATTTATAACCAATGGTTTCCAAAACATAAAAAAGACAAGATAAGTTTTGGGAAAAAAAACATTAAAGGTGGGCTACAGTCTGTATACTGGAGGTATAGTTTGTTAATTGATTCCCAAAACAAATGGCCTGATGCACTGCAGAGATCCATCCATTCATTTTCTAACAAAATGATCCAATTCAGGGTTGTGGGAGAGCTGGAGCCTATCCCGGCAAACAGGCACAAAGCAGGATACACCCTGGACATGATGCCAGTCCATCACATGACACACAGACACAAACATGCACACCCTCATAAACATTTTCCCAGAAGGCAGTTTACCAAACCAGTATGTCTTTGGACTGAGGTGAACTCGCATCCATGCAGAAGAAACCCACACAAACAAGGGAGAACATTCAACCACCACAGAGATAGCACCCCAGGTCTGGAATTGAAACAAAGACCCCAGGGCAGTCACACTATACACATTATGGAGATATGTCGTCTAATTCAGCCCCGTGAGTCGCAGGATTGTATACGTTTCTGACAGGAAGCTTACCTGAGGGTGGGGTCCTGCTGGGTGAGAGAGGGAGAACTTCCACTCTGAGACTCCTGGGACTCCAGCTTGGCCTCCAGCTGTTTAGGAAACAAGGAACGGAGCAGAAAGATAAGTCGCACTGTGCTGTGATCCTAGTGGGGGTTGACTCTCTTATCTGCTTTGAAAGTACTTTCATTGGCAGACATGTAGTATGTATAAAATACAAAGACATTCTATGGGCTATTCAAATTCATTCAAATTCGAAAAAGTCTTAAAAAATACACAAAAGAATTTCACAGTGAATCATCATTTTTCTACCACATATTTATTCATACAGTGCATGTTATGGGTGGAACCAATCAAACCATTTGCACGCAAGAACATTGGAAACGCCATGCCATTTTGAAATTCCAAACCAAAACCATTCAGAGCAAAGTAAACACAGGTCTTATGAAAAAGCAATGTTCTTTGTGCTCTGTGTGTGTAAATTAAGTTGTTGGATTTAGAGCAAAACAAAAATGGAGGGACTAACAATATTTTCACTGGAAGTAAACATGTGAGATGAAAATGTTAGGTTCAGTTAAATAAACAATGTAATAATGCCCTCTCACTATGCATGTAAAGAAACCATTAAGTTTCTGACAAAATTTTAGTCTAGTGTGTCGCCTAAGAGAACTGTGCTGAAAACCATACCTTGACACTGCTGTCAGCCCTTTTTCGCCAAAACCACCACCTTCCTGACTTCTTTGGCATCTTCTCTTTGACCCAGGCTTCCTCTGTGGTCTAAAATTCACAGAGAATGAAGAAATGTAACCCTTCTGATACTGGAAAATTTACTTTCCAATATCAATGGACATATGGAACCCCAGTGAGAGATTAGTTGAAAAACTATAGATAAAGCATGCTAGACAAGCAGCTGATGTTTACCTTAGGTAAGCTCTTCTGGAAAACTTGCAGACTAAGTATCATAGGGGCAGCCAAAGTCCAGTTGTAATACCTATAATTGTTTTTAAAACAAGTGTGAATAACAAACAGTTAAATACAAATACTTTCCTTCAGCAATACATTTTGGAAAAACAGATGCTCATAGCTTTGAGTATTTTTTTATTTCTATCTCACTGTTGATGTAAATGTTCACCTGTACAGAGGTTACAAAATGTTTTAAAAAATAGTACATACAGACAAGCTGTTTGATACAGCCCTGCAATAATACACTAAAGCTGATTTGCCTGAAAACAGTAGCATTAGTACAGAAATAAATTATTTTTCACTATTTGAGCTAGAAATACTTACCTATTAGCAATTCTTATAACCAGATTGGGGTTGTCTATAATTCCAGGGTTTTCAGCAAATTCATGATATGTAATAAGGTGTTCCAGGAATTTTTCTATAAAAAATACAGAATGGAAAATTATAATCAAGGTTCCTCAGACATTATTTTCTTAAGAAAAGCTTTAAATTTTAAATGGTTTCTATAAACCAAGAAACAACACTGATAGATTAGCTGTGTAAACAGTGCGGTTTATTCTCCTTCCTATTGTAAAGCTTGGAGTACATGTTCTCTTGCTTCTTATTTAAATTTCATAAACTGTCTCCTGGAATAGAAAATGAAGCCCTAAAAGCTCTTTCTGAAAACTGCAGTACTGAACAATATTTTTTTAAAATTATCCCACCTATCTAACTGCTGCACTTCAGAACCGTTCTAGTTCTCACCTTTCGAGATCTCCGAGTTTTCACTCAGCCCTCCGCAGAGGGACAGGGTGACGTCAGGGAGGTCGATGGCAGAGTCAGAGAGGCACTCGGTGCCGCTGTCAGCAGCCATGCTCCCAACAGACTGAGGGGACTGAGAGCCAGAGCGAATGTCAGACTCCAGCCAGTGCTTGGGACCGGGGTCAGACTCACTGCAACACGTTGTGGGGGGGGGGGATACCAACAAAAAAACTGAGATTATATCTACTGTCTCTTTAAGATACTCAACACACATCAAGAAGGCCGTTGCTGTGCCAGGTTTAAGAGAAGTTACCTTTATAAGCCATATACAATTTCTTACATTAGGAATTTGTCTTTTCACAATCCCCAGCTTGCTCTCCATGAGACACACAAACGGGGAGATAGAAGTTTGGGGTCAGAGCACAGGGTCAGCCATTTATACAGCTCCACTGGAGCAGCTGGGGTTAAGGGCCTTGCTCAGGGGCCCAACATAGTAAGATCCCTTTGCCGGCCGCGGGATTTGAACCGGTAACCTTCCAGCCACAGGCGCAGATCCTTAGCCACAGTGCCAACTCTCTGCCCCTATTATTTTATAAGAGGTTTGGAGTTCTTTTTTGTGAAAAACCATTAACATTACAGGAGGGGTCTTTGCTGCCTGATAAAACGAATTCCATCATCACAGAAATCACAGAAAGCCAGGGCAGTCTGTTCTCTGCTTTACAGCATGTAAACGATTTCAATAAGCTGTTGCTTATATTTAATATTATTTCACAACTAAGACATTGTCAATGCACAGTTACCAGATGAAAGAGCAGCAAAACTAGTGTTCTATTTTTCTAAGGAAACTTTGCTTCTGCTTTTATTTCAATCAGCCATAGTATTCTGTTGTATTGGATCCTTGAACCTATGATGACCTTTTTCTCATACATTGGAGATACCGTACATAGCATTTTCAGACTGCAAAGACTCGAAAGGCAACTACCTTTTCGGAAAGTAGCGTGCCGCAACATCAGGCTCCAACACATTCAGGTCATCTAGGTAGATATCATCAGGCCCCTGGTGTTGACTCCTCTTCCGAACACCTATTAGCAAGATTGGAGTGAAAGCGACTCAAATGTCAAAGTATGTCAAAGGGTTGTACAAATACATTTAGTCCTAAAGAGCTATAAAGGTGTACACACACAGCTTGAGATGTACAATTTCACAGGCTTCAAAATCCATGAAAAGTTGGGAAGATGTTTTAAAGATGGCAACATAAAGAGCAAAAATGCTCTCTAGACAGAAAGAAGAGGTCTAGGGTTTATATTGAGTCCTGCATTGGGAAGCCGGGGTGTGAAAAAGTGGTCTCTAGAAGCTTATGCATACTCAAACAGTTATTTCCACAACTACATGTACTGCATATTCTCGGGTATTAAACCAACTTGAAATTAATTTGGTATCAGCATTCTCTATATTTCAGGAAATATTTCAGCAAGTAAAACAAGAGAGTATAACTTTGAAAAATACTGTAGAATTCTTGTCCCCCCCCCCGTCTCTATTTGAATATAATAAAAGCAGGCTTAACAGAATTAATTCAAGATATAGTCCTTTCCCCAGGCCCTGAGAATAAAACCACTTCCTTCCCTTTTCATACCTTTTGCTACAACATTCTGTGTTTCTTCAGGCTGTGCCTGATGTACTCAGTACTGTGCACTTTCAAAGATACTGTATCAGATAATGCACAGTAAAAAAACACTCAAGACTTCAAACAGAATAATTAAGTGCTACACAAGGTACCATTCCTTCCTGTAGAACTGAAATTTCTACACCTGCAGTATTAGATAAATCTGACTTTATATGCAAAATTTCAATCCTTAGCTGTTCTTTATCCAAGAAGCTCACACGGCCTCATTCACCTTTCTTTTTAGAAGGGGAGTCAGTTTTCGAGAAGGTCTTAATTTCAGTGATGCCATCTGCCAGGTCTCCAGCCTGATCCCCTCTCACAGGCAGGTCTGGACAGGGCTCTTGCACTGAGTCAGTACTGCTGGGCGTCAATGGAGTGACAGGGTTTCTGGGTTCCGGCTTTACTATAGAGCAAACAGAATCCACCACAGCTCCCTGGGCTTCTCCCTCTGCGTTCAAAGCATCAGAGCTTAGGATAACACGGAAATGTGTGTTTTCTGATGGGGTGATGGTCACCGTCTTTGGGAGATCAGACTTGTCCTTCTTGCTGACCTGCAACAGTATCATTATTAGAGGACCTACAGTACATTCTGGGTTTGTTATACAACACTTTATCAGGAATTTACAGTACTCATTTCAACATATTCAAGTTTTTTCAGAATATAAACTTTTTTTTAGAAAAAAAAAACAAAGCAAAACAATATTACATTCCTTATCATTTGCTACAGAAACTGTTCATGTTTCTCAGTGACAGAGTCTGTAGTGCTGCTGTGCTGTACTAATGTCCAGGGTTACTATCCTTTCCTACAATTTATTACACTAATTTCAGGACAGTTACTGCACCTCTCAACCCTTCTTGTTCATAGTACTGTGAATATCTTATTGCAACAGGGGATGTAGATTCAGTATTATATTTAAGAATGTTTTCATTTTTCTAGAATTTTAATAGGATGGAATCCTATGTGTAATACATTTATACGTGTATAACTAATTCAGCAGCATTTAACTTTGTGAAGGTCAAATACAAATTTTACATTAATTACATTACATGGCATATTACATTATGAATACATATGCTGTTCCTGCGAACAGCAAGGAACTCTAAATAAAGAAAAGCCATCACTTTGATGTGATTTATGTCTTGTGTGACAATGCAGCATGGTTCAGTTTCTTAAACTCTGGACCTCTTATCAGAATATTCTGATTGCTTCCACCAACACAGATGTGTAAACTAAAATTGCTGGAAGGGGTTAACAATGGACAACAGCATCTCATCCAGAGATGTTCCCATGTTCTCAGTTTACTGAAGGCTACAAAACCCACATTTCAAGAGCTTGAGAGATGAACACAAGTGTTAAGGTTATTGCCATATGATACGTTACTTACCCTTGTAGATTCAGGAAACTCTCCCCATGTCCACTGCATGTGAGACTCAGCTCTTAACAGGCTCTCTGAGGGCTTAACCACCAGTTCAGAGTCACTCTTTGGAGAGGAGATCTGGGACATGGTTCGACTGAAATTTGAAACAAAAAAAAGATGTGAAAATAGGCATTGGCAGCATTATATCACTTACACACTGAAGTGCAAAAAGCTGTACGTAGCTCTCTGAACTACTATATGAATAAAATGAAGGCAATAGAATTAAGGAACTGAAACTATTTCACACAGCACGTATTCTTAACAAACCCATGAAAAATATACAAAGAAAAAGGGAAACTCACATGAAAGAAAAAGAGGAGCAAAAAGAGAGGCTAATTAACAATATCCTACAGATAACAAAAAGCAACTGACCACTCCATCACAGTTTATCCACTGTAAAATGCACTTTACCCATACCTCCCTCCATTAGAACAATTATTGCAAGTGAGAGCAGCTAAGCACAGATTAACAGCACTACAAACAAGTACTAGAATATCCCAGTCTCTCCCCATCCTTGTACAACTGATGTTTTTGGCTGCAGTCCCACTTGCCAGAAAAAGACATTGCGCCTGAAAATATTAGACACTTGGAAATCAACATTGAGAAAGAGCGGTCAACAGCCCAGAATAGTCATGCCATATTAGTTGCACTCACTTAATAGACCTCTGACACAGGACAGTCCATGAGCATGGGAAGTAGGCAATTGATACAAATGCAATCTAAGTAACGTTAACAAACAAAACTATACTAACTATAACTAGCGGAGAGAAATAGTAGAGCACTCTGTTATGCGTCTCATTGCCAGATTGATGATATAAAAACCACATGAACTTTTATGGTTTTGAACCATGATATAAAACACACACTGACAAGCCCAAATTAAATGCTGCTTCAGTCAGGCATATCAGTTTTGAGGATTAGCTGGGCTTTACTAGATGGTCTTAAATGGCCACCTCTTATTGGTAGCTTTTCTTGTATTCATAAACAAATATTTCTTGGTGGCAGAATACAACACAGGGTTAATGAATACAATTCCAATTAATACAACGGGTCCCAATCCTACTGGGAGAGGGAGGAGGGAACTCAATTGAACTGGCAGCTCAGTATGTGATCTCCTGTCACAGCCTGAGGAACAGTGAGTCTGTCTCCCAATAATGCTCCATCTGTCTACAGTATATGTAAATATTTTATGATAGGTCTTTGTTGTAAATATCTGTAATACAGTATGTCTGTAGATTTTATTTTACTTTTATTTTTTGTTTTGTTTCATGTGAATTTCATTATTTTTATTTGCTTTGGCAACACTGATTGTACCCATTGGTCATGCTGATAAAGCACCTTGAATTGAATTGAATCCAACACATACCTGTCAGAAAGAGACCAATCTCCATCAGACAAAGGATAGTTATCAATGTGGAGGATCAAAGGCTGATTGTACTCCACTTCCTTTGCAGGGGTGAAGGAAGATCTATGGGATGAAGCAAACAATTCTGTCAATTTAAACAATCATAGAGCTTAAAACCCCTTTCCCTTTGACAAAAAGTATTGCAACTGTGATGACCTTGGAAACCCACTGAAGCTAAGCAGGCGTGAGCCTGGCCAGTCCCTATCAAAATAAATTCACAGCTGGTAAAAGCTAAACACGCTTCACTGTCACAAATTTCATTGCTAGCTATACTGAACTAGGCTATAAAAGTGTTTGCCCATTTGGGACCCAGACTGGCATGACTGATTAATTGCTTTGTCTACGGTTTTACTGCTTTACCAATTCACCAAAACCACATTCGGACTGAGCTCTGGGGGTGCCTTATTGGAAATAGCTATCCATTGAACTAAGATGAGATACTTTTATCTGTGTTGCAGATGTGTTGTATGATTTCAAATGTACCATTCTGTGATCTAGTGATCTAGTTACTCCAGCTATACTATTCTTCAATAAAATTAAGTAATTAAAAGTATAACAAATGCTGTTGGTACCGCTACTCTCTCAGTATAATTAGTGGATAGCATTCTATATGCAAAGAAACAATTAAACATACTTTATGAAAATAAAAAAACAGTCCTTTCAAACAATCGCCCTTTACTTTTCAAAAGTACTTTAGTATTGGCTGGTATGTCTTATTAACATACATCTTTCCATTTTCCAACTCCTTTACCCAGTTCAGGGTTGTAGGGGAGCCAGAACCAATCCTGGCAAGCAATGGGTACACAAGGATACACCCTTGATTAGCATCTCAGCAAATGTTTGGATTACCTTGAACTGTGAGACAGCTGTTCTTCATCAGAACTGCGATCCATTTCAAAAACCTCTTCACTTCCAGGAGCCGGACTCTGCTCCTCTTTCCTGACATCAGTTTTGTGCTTTTTCCTCCTGCGTTTCTTCTTTTTCACGGAGCCTGTGTTGAGCATTGGGCTGTCTGGGTCCATGCTCTTCATGGTGTTCTCCGAGGACTGCAGGCGGTCCTCCTTTCCGGAACTCGCCAGGTGGTTCTCCAGGTTCCAGAACACCTGCTCCTCGGTGGGGATCGGCGAGGTTGCTAGGTGAGCCGGAACCACCTCCTGGGAAACAGGTAAATGAAGACCTTCGATGAGGAAGTACGTGACACTTCAACACTGCAAGGTTGCGTGAATTCAGGAGACGGCTATAATCAATCGGATTTTGAAATGACAGTTGCAGGGAAATCTATAAGCTTAAGGTTTTCCTCACTGTTTTACAGTACCTTTTATACTTCTTGATATCGTTCAGATTTTTTTATATTTCAGACACTATCTCCTATTACTCTAAATATCTTTTGCGGATCATCATACATTTAAAAAATCATTTAATGTGGTGTCTACCCTCCCATTTCATAATGTCAGGTCAGGTCATGTCATTTACCAAACCTCCTTATACCATACAGTGTTGCAGGAAGCCAGAGCCTACCTGGCAAGCAACGAGCAAAAGGTAGGGTACACCCTGGACGGGACGCCAGTCCATTGCAGGGCAAGTGTAAGCCAATCATACACCGGGGTGCATTGACATGCAATCTTGTAATGTGTGTACAAGAGATGGGGAGTTCACAGTTTGCAGAAAGTGTTTCCTGCCTAGTGCTCAGGTTGCTGGCCACAGCCGGGGGTGGACCCAGTGGTTACAACTCATGTTGCAATAAATGACAAAGGAAAAAGTAGGCTGAATTTTCCGAGAGTGTAAGCTTGCCAACTAAGAGCCAGAATGACTCTGATGATAGCCTTTGGAATTCTTCTAACACATGCAAGCCTAGGAAGAGGAGAGGAAGTATGTCAATTTAAAAAGTTGGCTAAAGGATTCGGGAATTGCCTAAACAAATGGAAACAGTATAGCAGGACAGGGTGAACATAAACCAGAAGTGAGCACATAAAGTAGTTGAGGAATTGCTGAACTATAGAAATGGGGAGCAGAGAGTTCACAACTGGCCAGTTCTGGTGGGATCAGAAAAGTCCATGGCAAACACAAATAAGAAATAAGAAAAAAAACTTAGTACAAGATGCACTTTTTTATAAGGAATTTAAAGCAACAACTGCAGGATACATTATTAACAGAAAACTATGACTTATAAGAGTAACAAATGTGGCTTGGAGAAGGCAACAGGAACAAATATACCTTTTTTCAGAAAACAGGCATGACATAAGAGGTGGTGTTATGTGACTATACAGTATATCAGAAATAACCTATAAGCTAGAGACCCGAGAGAGCGTACATGGAGTTAAGAATCTACAGTACATAGGCTGAAATGTAAAATAAAAATTCTACTGCCTTAGCAGTAGGTATATTGCTACAGATCACCAAATGCAGACATGGGCACATATAGTATTTTATGGTGAGTTCACGAAATTATGCGGCCAAGGTAGTGCTGACATTTCCCTATAGTGTTTCTTCTCAACAAATACTGTACATTGATGCAGAATAAGACAAAATTCGCTGTTGCTGAAAGGGTAAATGATTGCTTTGATAAGCTGGGTTAAGAAGCATCAACCAGGAAAAACACTCTTATTGAACTAATCTTTTAAACAATCACAATATCATTTAAAGAACTGACATGACACAGCCACTGGAAAATTCTATTTAAGACTTTAGTGCAATAATATGGTAACTTTTATGTATTTTTTTAAACTCTAAAATGCAATTCACAAATTAGGGTTCATAATTTTTGAAAAGCAGACTATGAAGGAATTAGATTTTGCTCACAGGTGATGAAATCGAAACAGATGAATAGATGGTTATACCTCAAAAACTTAATGATAAAGTGTTTATATTAATTCATCCCTAAGACAATGCATAAAAATGCATTTTGTCCAGTACTACAACTAGACTTACACTTACACTTTTTACAACAGTAAAAAGTGGAAGTAAATAGTTACTCAGATTCACATCAATGGGGTGGCTGTTGAGATGGTTAGAAGCTTCAAGTTCCTGGGTACCTTCATCGCTTATGATTTAACGAGGTCCCAGCATGTAACTGGAGCTACAAAGAAGGCACAACAGCGCCTTTACTTCCTCAGACAGTTGAAAAACTTTGGTCTATCTTCAACTGTCCTTACCACATTTTACAGGTGTGCTATTGAAAATGTGCTCACGTGTGGTATTACAGTGTGGTTTGGCAGCAGCTCATTGTCTGACCAGAAGGCATTACAGGAGGTGATCAGGTCAGCTCAGTCTATCATTGGAGTACAGCTCCCTCTATTTCAGACATTTTCACAACTTACTGTCTCAGGAAGGATGGAAGTATTGCTAAGGATACCAGTCATCCTGGTTTCTAATTTTTCTCCCCTCTTCTCTCTGGTAAGCGTTATAGGAGCATAAAGGCACATACGTCCAGATTCAGAAACAGTTTCTTCCTACAAACTGTCAGATTACCAAACTCTACCCTTACCACTGGCTCACACTGATGTGTTTTTTTCTAAGATGTATGTTATTTAACTTGTTGTTGCGTTTGTTTTTGGCGTTTCCTTAATCTCTTTGTATTGGAGCATACATGCAAATAAGCATTTCATTGCACTTGTTCATATGACAAACTGAACTGAACATTTGTAAGCAGTTGTGTACTGCAGATATCCACTTTGGACCTATTTCTTTTCTAGTTACATTTTGAGAAGATACAAAAACAGGGGGAATTACAAACAAACATCTGCTGGGGAATAAAAAAAGACTTAAAGCCAAGTAATGGGTAACAAATTGAATTTGCTGTAAGATTTATATGCACAAAATGATCCACCTTGGCAGTAGGAACACACACTGTACATATAAAATGATTGAGTAGGAGCTACAGGAAAATGCAAAGATAGGGAATGAGTATGTAGATTCCTGTATGTCCACATCAAGACAATGAGGAAGCAATTCTGTGAGAAAGAATGATTGGGTTTATAAAAAATCTGTAGAATTTAAAGGGAAGTTGTGCTTTACACTGCAATATTAAGGCTTACAATTAAGATATTATAACAATGAACTTTACAATGCACTAGAAATACCTTACTCACTCAGAATATTGTGTTGAGGTTTGGCAAAATGATCCACCTTGGCAGTAGGAACACACACCGTAAATATACAGTAACATGATTGAGTAGGAGCTACAAGAAGATGCAAAGAAAGGGAAAGAGTATGTAGATTCCTGTATGTCCACATCAAGAGAATGAGGAAGCAGTGAATTCTGTGAGAAAGAACGATTGGGTTTATAAAAAAGGTGTAGAATTTAAAGGGAAGTTGTGCTTTACACTGCAATATTAAGGCAATGCACTAGAAATACCTCACTCACTCAGAATATTGTGTTGAGGTTTGGCTACCAAACCACAAAAAGGATAACAGCTTCAGGGGGAGTTAAAAAAAGCAACAACACTGATTCATGGTCAGGGGACGGTCATATCCAAACAGGTTAAGAGACCACTCTCATCAGGAACCATTATGAAATGGCTGAATAATATTTTAATTTCACCTCTGTCCTCTTGTTTGCATGCTTTCGACATTCTAAGGGGAACTATTAGAACTCTAAAACAGAAGACTACTTCTAAAAAAAGTTATCTCCATGTATCTTATAACAAACAGTCCTCATAAAGATGACAAAAGATTCTCGGATTTAAAATGAGAGTTTGTTATGTTTTTCATAAAGTAAATATACAAACAATTAGATTATGATTTAGAGCATTCAAAAGTTAAATAGTCTTAAGGAACTTTACATTTTCTTCGCCGGTTTCTTGTACAAAGAAAGCCTCTCCATTGTCTCCCAGCTTCATGTGCAGGTCCACAGGCTCACCATTAATCTCAATGTCAATCTGTGGATTAGAAAGAGAAGATAACACATTTCTTATATTCATGTGCAGTGGAATCAGCTTTAAAGAAAGAAACCTTTAGCATTACAGTGAAACAGTCGCATTTGAACACTGGCAGTCGTACTTGTATATTTTGGCTCTTTTTGTAATTTCTCTGTTAATATTCTTAGTATATTGCACAATACAAAAGCATGCAGGAGAATTTGTAGTGCAGTCATATTTTCTCTTCAGAATTTGTCACTCATGAACACATACCACATACCACAGTAGTTGATGAAGTATGGTTTATGATTCAGTCATGATAAAACCATTTCCTTGTGGTTGTGGAGTTCATGGCAAAAAAATAACAAGACGTGACATCTTTACTTTGTATTCCAGTAAGTGGAAAAAGGATGTCTTTTTATATTTAATTTCAAGATAAAAATACAGAAGGCATCACAAGGCCTGTTTGGCATAAGACAGGTAATCTAACAGAATTATTTACCTTCCTCAGCTGATTTCATACAAGTACTATATTAAAAGCTTATGAATATCCAAGATACGGAAAGAGAGATCTGTTCTGAAAGTGGTAAGGACATTCTTCTACAAACTCAAGCTACACTCTGAAAACAAATTTGGGAAGTATTTTGTATCCAGAAGACACTACGCTCAACAGTCTGGGCATCAAATTGAGAAGGGATATTTCAATATATCATTTTTTTAAGAAAAGGGGCCTAAGAAAGTTGGCAACTACAAATCTTTAATATAGCTAACCTAATGTGTAATATAACCTAGTTATAAACTGTGACTGGAACTTTTAATGTGCCCCAGTTAGTGAGTGGGATGTCTCTCTCTTTGCCAAAATGAAGTCAGGAGGAGAGGTTTGGCACAGCTGGCAAGATCTGTAAACTCTCCTGTTCCTTATCTTTTACATTAACAAACTTTCTGGGATTTCATTACACAGCATTGGATTTTGATGCTGTAATAGTAAATGTCTTCATTTAAATTAAAAAGAGATGTAAAGTACAGTAGTCACAAGTACCCAGTAAATCATAAGGTCTTTTCACTTCTTTGGAATGGAAGGCTTTCTGAAAACAAAAAACCTGAATATTTCATTCATGTCTTTAAATTTTGGGCAGTGGAAACATATCCATCCATTATAACATTAACGCCACAAAAAACAACAACATCCAGCTTACATCACTCCTACTGCATATGCCTTCATACTCATTTCAAACTTTCATTTTGATGCAAATGTGTTTCAATCCCACATGCAAATTGACTGGGAAAAATGTATTCAGCCACAACAAAGAAAAATAAAATGTAACTTCCATCTGATGATACACATTCCTAGGCCTCTGCAGAACACTTCCTTTATTTCTTGGGCTTTGTTTCCCTAAGAGCCTTCACAGATTTCTTTCCCAGTTGCTAAGCAGTTTATGACCACAGTTTGGCCATGTGAATGTTAATAGCTTCAGGACACTGTGGAAATCATTCACAGCTTCCTGCTTAAAGAGATTTCTTGCATTAATGGCTTTTCTCAACAAGTATTTTTTTTTGTTTGTTTTAAGATTGATTTAGACTAAATAGTGCAGAATATTATGGGTTTTAGAGTTTACTCATCGTGGACTGTAAGAAGACGGAAAAACAATGCTTTCTGATGTTTTCTTCTTTATTAGGCTTAAATCAAAACGCGTCACCCTTTAATGTCTAAAGCTAAATTTGTTTCAATAAAGAAAATTAAATGTTGCTCAATGACACTTATTTTGTTTATTCTCTGTTTTCATTTTGGATTTGAAATCTTAAACTGCAATGCAAAAAAGCCTATGACTTGAGAGGTTAAGAGGTATCAGCCAGCACAGGTGAAGGCAGGAATGCAGATAACAGTACTATTTGAAGATACCTGTTTTTCCTTATCTACCCAAGGCATTTGCTCACATTACAGGTGTTGTTTTTTTAAAGAGTGTTTCAGCATTCCTAAGCATACAGTATATACTATACAGTATAACAATTTCAATATTTGACTAGAGAGCTATGTCAGTGTAAGGAAAAGCCTCTATCTTTTTTTCCTATTCATTGTTCATTCCTTACAAAGTTTAAAGTTGAAAACTTTTTTTAAAATGTATTTATGGAGCATAGGCGTGTCCTGAAAAACCAAGGTCAGGGTGTCTTCTGTTGTTGCAGGTGATTTCAAGACTGCAATCAATCTGACACACAAACCTGCATGAATACAGGAGGACATCTACACTTACACAACAGATTTATAAGTTTCAAAACTTTTCAAGATGAGCAGAACAAATAAAAATGACAAGACTTTTACTCAGATGTGAGTGGCAATATGTAGTGATGTACAGCAATGCTCTTTGAAGAACCTTACTACTTGCTTTTAGAAAGCTGTAAACTTTTTAAAAAGTGGTAATTAGAAAAACTTGCACAAGCTCACATGAACGCAGCCTTCTGAAGAATTATTCTCTTTCAATTGACAGGAACTCCAAAGTGATGCAGTCCTACGTCAGTTATTGTATACTGTAATTTTATTTGCATTCAGCTCAACATGCTGAAGTAAGACCTTTTCTCTCCACTTTTAAGACAAATACTGGAATCTGCTGCCATAGCAACTCAGCTGGTTGGATTCAAGGTTTGACTAACAATGTAGATTCTGGGATGAAATCAAAAAGCCTTGCTTCCCTTGTTCATTGAAGAATTTGCAAGGATCCAAATTTATATACGTAACTTAAACGCCTACTTACTCAGAAACAAAAACAGCCCTTGTTTTAAAATACAGTACAGTATGAGCTCAAATATCAAGGATTAGCCAGTATATAAAAAACCTCCCCAATTTACTGCATATGGTGACAAATTTCCCACACATCATAAAGTACAAAAGGTAACAGACAAGAAAAGAATTTAATAGGCAGCAAATGCCACAAGCAGTGTACCAGACAAAGAATAGTACAGTAAATGCCAGCAGTGGAGAGGCTTTGAAATCTTCCCAGCTCTTAAAAGCCACGCCAAATCCTGACCTTCTTAATGCATCAAGTTCAAGAAGGTCCTCCAACAAATCTATGAGTGCTTAAAAGAAAAGAGGCAAAAGACGAACCCCTGGAAAACCCAAGAAAATATTGCATCCAATTAGCAAATACAAAATCTTGTTACTTTGCACAACTGCTTCCTGGGTGAAAAGGTTCTATGGTCTATCTCAGCAATTTGGCAAGAGGATCCCTCCTTCTCCACGATGTGGCCTAGTGAATAAGAATACAAAGTTAAATCATGGTCCCTTTGGTCTACTCACCACTTTCTCTTTAGAGCGCAGCACACCCAGCTTGCCAAAGCGCACATGGAATGGAGAGCACTGGTAGGTGCCGTCTTGCTGCCTCACCACGATCACATCGATGCAGCCGGACAGCGTGGCTTGGTTGATCCCTTTGTACAGCTCCTTAACCGTCACCAGCACCTGGCCAGCCAGCTGACCCACGTAGTTCATGGTTTCAATCTGCAAGGACAAAACATTTTAACAATCTGAGCCAAAGGAAGAGTAGAACTATGCAGACTTCGGTGATGTCGTTTGTGAACGAAGACCCCAGAACTGTAGGAAAGACCCTGCCAGGCGACCTATATGTGCTATGTTTGTTATGTGTGTCTGTTTCGGTAAAGAGTTTCTGTTATAATCCCTACCCGGGCTGTAAGGGCCCATTGTCTGAGGACCTCCCAGGAATAGAGTCCTATGCTCCTGTATGCGGCCATGGCTGGCCTGCTTGTTTTTGACTAAGCATTGCCACAGAGTTTGCGATTACAAACCTTATGTGTTAGCCTTTGGTTGTCCTGGTAACCCACCAGTTAAGGGTTTGGATAGCAATGCACACACAAACAAATCACAAAGTTTACTAGTATAGCAAAAAGAAAATGTTTTTGTTTCATTACCAATCCTCAAAATACATATCAAAAAGGTTCCAGATATTATAGAGTAAAGGACAAGTATTGAGCCCTCAATAACCCATAATCCATCTAAATCATTTTAATGCCTTGAACTTTCAAATGCCAGAAATAAAGGTTACTTCACATTTTCATGGAAAACAAAATTTAACTCGTTATAAAGGAACAAAACTTTTTCAGGCCCCTGATTAAACTTAAGGGGAACTAAATGCGGAAAGCAATGACATTTTAATAACAACAATGACAAAACAGAACATCTTCTCTTGCTTGAGTAGCTGTATTATATTCCCACAATTTATGGAAGCCAAGTATAACAAAATGTCACATGATGTTTTCGTCTTTGGAGGCCCTTTGCAACTTTTTGGCAGCCAGCCTCTGGTGTCTTACGTCTGCCAGAAGAGAGATAAGACTGCAGCTGTCGTCAGGATTGTAAGTGCACCATGGCAGTGACACACTATGAATGCTTGTCCTTAAAGCAGCAATTGTTTTAGAGATGATTGTCACTGATTGCAGTGTCTCATCGTCTCGCCTTTTTCTGTGCTGAAGGTTGGCAAAAACGCCCCGTCTTCACTTGAAGCTTCCTGCTGAAGTGAAAGTATGCAAAGCATAGCCCCTCTACCCCACCCCCTGTTTACAGCATTGTCTGTGCAAGCTCTGGCTTCACTACAGCTACAACTATATGCAGAGCAGACTTCTTTACTTGAAACGATTATACCCTCATCTACCTAGAACATTCACGTCCTACTGGACAAACAGCAGAGAAATAGCTCTCTACAAATAAAAGACTTATCACCCTATCATTTCTAACTGTGCATGTGCTCATGTAACAACAGAGATAGATACAGCAATGGACAGAAATGCGGGACATTTCCAGGAACCTTATTTAAGATATGAACATGGTTTAATTTATACTGTACTTCGATACTACAATAATATCTTTCATCATTAAAACATGCAATGCACAACTATAACTTTATACCATCAGTGTAACTGAAAATGTAACAAAATGAGATGTCCTCATGTAGTTTGCTTACTACTCTTTTTCTTTTGCTTTTTTTGCCTCTGTACACTTCAACATGTTTAGAGTGTACAACTAGAATACCGCTGAAGGACTCTTACATCAAATGACATGTAGACATTCATGATGAACACGAGTTTGTCGGATTTCTCTTCTTTTCCTCAGATTGTGCAATCCCAGAGGGCCTTTTGAGCACTTTTAGTCTCTCAGCTTCCAGTTTAATCATAAAGCAGAATGTTTCACATCATTATCTTGATGAAAAAAATGTCCTGTAAATAACACATTCCTGTCTTTTGTATTGAGGTTTAGAAGAATTGCAGGACTGAAGTGCCAATTTTAGCTGTAGTTCAACAATGTTGAAAATGATCAAAATCAGTACAAATGCAAAATAATCTTAAGGATTTGGAACAAAAAAGGGTTTGATGTTCATAGACACAATTGCTAGAAATATCTAGGCTAATACAGATTTTAATACATACTGTAACGTGATTTTTTGTCTGCATGTAAAAGAAGGAGAGCAGTCAAAAGAGGTCAGTCAAAACATCTTACATTTATTTTAAGAAACAGCTGACAATTTATTGTTTAAAATTTTTGTACAAGCATGTTCTACATTAAGATCGCAACAAAGCTTAAAGATGGGTAGCTGAGAGCTTATTTCTTTGCAGCCCCTGAAACTCTAGTTCATACTGGGTTCAAATCACAGCTGGAATGATTTTGGTCATCTTGGTTAAAAACCTCAGGCAAGGCTGAAGCTATCCAAACAAGAAAGCTATTATGGAACTTCCTGAAATTAATTTGTTCTAAAAATATCTACTGTAGATTAACATTTTAACATCCTTTGTACTTAATTATATGTATTACACTTTGATACTGCTGTTCTTTTTAAATGCATTTTTTTCTCTACATCTTTTCTTCAACTTAAATGCCATATCTATCAAGGATGCACTGCTAGTGCTAATTAGTGGAGCAGTTTTCTAATAACGCAGTACTGGAGCTGCACTATAATCAAGCTGCTTTCGGTAAATATTAGCATACTGTACGTCAAATACTTTACTGATCTGATGTGATGTTTAGTGATGTTAAACACTGTAGATTTGATGTCACTATAATCAAGGTTTAATTATTTTCCATTGCTACATCTCCCAGATGTAACATTTCTCATATTATGCTTTTTTATACACAACAGATGGTTGAAACATAGTCCTAGAAACAAATTTCAAAATGTATTAAAACATCTTAAATAAGACCTGCATCACATCAACCATTTCATTAGGTTTAAGATTCATAGTTACTTATTTACTTTTTCACATTCACAAGTCATACAGCATGTAGATAATGGCTCAATAAAAAATGTTTAGCAAAACAGCCCTTAGCATAAGCCACATAATGCTGCTGACACCATCCTCTTGAGTGCAGGAGGAGAAGTCAAAATGGAAAATAAGAGTGGTTGTCATGGCAAAAATAATTCATGACAAAAAAAATGAACATGTGGGCTCGTGACTGCTGTCAGTGATGCAGAATCGTTCTCATACTGTAAGCCCTTTTCAGAAGCTCCTTAAAGACAGAGTGGTTATAGAGTATTGAAGTCACCTCTATTAAGAATAACTCTGTAACCAATCTTTTTTTCAAGTGGGTGTTTATTCCCTGCCCCTGACATGAACCAATCTAAATACTTATTGAATTTCATGTATACGTTGTAAAGAGAGAGATTCTTCTTTTCAGGTGACTGGTATAACTGTTATAATGTTGGTGAACGATTTAAAAACAAAGGTCAGAATGTGAAACATACACAAGAATAAAGAACTTTAAGTTTCCTGAGGTATCATGCAAAACTTGATTTTATTGCACTTGTGCATATGACTATAAACTGAACTGATAAAAGTACAGTAGTTTAAACAAAAAGTAATACATTAGCTGTCACTTCAAATTGATTTACGATCAAACAAATACTGTAACTGTGATACAGCATTTAGATGGCAAGATCATTAAATTAAACTTTTTTTAGCAATCTGTTTCAACCAATACAGTTTAATACAGCTCATGTGTGCAGGTATCAGTGGCAATTCAGTGCAAGTTCAGGCTATTGACCCAGCCGTCTCTGAAAGTTGCCTGAAGGGACTGAAGCACAGTTTCTCCCTCTGTGGTATTACAGTATAATAAGCCAAATGCCCAAAGCCTGAAAGAGCTAATGTGAATAAAACCCGTATTTATTGATGGTCAAGAAAATAATCTGATACAAAAGTATCCACAAATGTGTAGACTATATGCATAAGACAAAGTAAGAAAAACTTGGAGAGCATAAAAAGGTATGAACAACCTCACCACTCAAACACAAACCAGAGTGGTACCACAGTCTGGCCACAGACACTGGATGACAGAGGCAGACAGACCTGGCTGCCCAGAGAGGACAGGCTGTGCCCCAGCTTCCAGCTAGTAGAGGCAGAGGCTGTACTGTGCTTTCTGCTATTCTATGGCAAAATACGAAGACTGTTGTATTTTGGAGAAGCGTTTCCCCCAAACTCTCTGCCCCTCCCAGACTCTCTTGAGGTACTGAGGCAGGATCACTTGTAACGGCCCGAGAAAGAGAGAAGCAGACAGACCCACACAGTCCAGGCACATTCTTGAACTGGCCTAATTTAATCTATTCCCCCTATCCCCCCCCCATCTCACTTTCTATAAACAATTGCTCATGTTAACATGGGTTTTCTTACTGTGTAATATTTTACTTTCTTTCATTTTTCCTTGTTTCTCAAGGTAGACATTTTAATACTGTAAATACTTACAGTATATGTACTAAACAAATTATATATTGGCAATAATATATAATTTTCCTGGGAAAAACTAAGGTTGCTGCTGGAAGAGGTGTTAGTGGGGCCAGCAGGGGGCGCTCACCCTGTGGTCCATGTGGGTCCTAATGCCCCAATATAGTGACGGGGACACTATACTGTAAACAGGCGCCGTCCTTCGGATGAGACGTAAAACCGAGGTCCTGACTCTCTGTGGTCATTAAA